AGCCCCACTCACGTAGGAAAGAAAAGAGTAAGCCCATAATAAGAGTATATATAGGCCACATAAGCATTAACACACAGTGTTAACTTTAATTGTTACGCTTAGCATTTTAATCCCAAACTTTGGATTATGAAACTAGATAATTTTCTAAGAATTATCATATTTTTATTATATTTTTCTGAGCACCTTTCCGGTATGCGCTTTACAGAGCCAGTACCGGTTTCTAGCACCAGTTCTCATTATTTAGACTTGAAACTCGTTTTACAAGTCCTATATATTATTCTAGTAATTATCATGCACTTACATTAATTTTCTGGGATACTTTTCGGTACGCATTTATACCGACTAGCAGAACCGGTATCTGCACTTTTCTTCCGAAAAGCGACTTTCAGCATTCTTAATCACTTACCATAATTATTAGAGCCTCTTAATAATTATTAGGGTCAATTAGGAATCATTTCCTAATTTTGCATAATTAATTAAATACCTTAATTAACGGTGCGAGTTCTTACAATTGGCATTACAAAATTTTGAAAAATTTTGAATAAAATTTTGAAAGGCTATAACTTTTGACTCTGGTGTCCGAATTAGGTACTTTTTTTTGTTCACATAACTTTTCGAGAGCTACATGTTGAAAACGTTGCAGAGAAAATTTGAGATTTTTTTGACCATATAATCGAGTACATGCCCAGGAACAGAAAATACTCAAGTATCTAGGTCATGTATTCGAGTATATGTTTATGAGACTTGATATACTCGAGTATATTAGTCAAATAAGGGCAAATTGATGTATAGTTTTAGGACGGGGGCAAAGTGATAATTTTTAGTATAAAAAGGGCAAAATGGTCAAATAGCCCAATTTTAAGCCGAAGAGGATAGTCGCGCTCCATAATGGGTTGATAAACGTAAGAATTTGTTTTCAGGGCCATCAGACGAACAATAAAATTGGAATTTTATTGCTTAACACTTCCATATTTTCAATATGTCCATTTAAAAATTTTAATCGATTTTGTTTAGATGCAATGGTTTTAATTTATTGGATATTTGAGTGTTTATATATATGAGAGAAGATCATTTGACACCGATGTGAAAGATCATTATTAGAGGCTCGACGCCAATAGGTGATGATGTACGTGTATACTAAGGTTAAGGTTTCAGCAGTCCATAATTATGATGTGAAACCCTTTAGTTGTAATTATAAAGGGATTTACTTTACATGGATAAAACTCATTGTCTCAAGAACTTGCGAGACTCATAATCTCTAATTGAGTTACCTTTGTATTGTCTTATACTATTTTTTTTTGTCATTGATCACTTATATTTAATAATTCACACAATTTAAAAATTAAAATTATTAAATAGAAGTAAAATCAACCTTTAAGATTAAAAATATAACTTACTCTGATGTAAAAATAATCTTAGCATAATCATATATATATATATATATATATATATATATATATATATATATATAAAAATGTTTGTCCTTTTAAATGACACAACTTATATCTTTTCACTCTCACAAAGGTGGGACTCACATTTTTATATTTTTTGTCCACTCTCTCCCCGCTTTATCTATCTCTTTCTCTCACTTAAAATTACACAACTTTATATCCTTTAAAATGATACTCACTTTTTCCATATATATATATATATATATATCTATGTGTGTGTGTTTTAAACATTTCTACAGCCACTTTAGATAATCTTATCTATAGCTATTTCTTTTTAACTAAGTTTGACCAGTAAGACATAAAAATTACATTTTCTCTCTCTGCCACGTCAGCCGACAATGCCTGAGGAGAGAGGAAAAAGAATAACCTTATTATTATAACTATGTCTTACTGGTCAGATTTAGTTAAAAAGAGATAACTGTGTATAATGTTATCTAAAGTGCCTACAGAATTACTTTTTCCTATATATATATATATATATATATATATATATATATATATATATAATATACAAGTAATTTTGTTATCTTTGAAAATTTTGTTGCTAAAGGATGTCATCAAATAAAAAAAAATTACTAGAGGTCATAGCAACATCGTTCTTTACATCAACTCTAGTGAAAAATCAAAAGTAGCGATGAAAAAATAATTTTAATTCCAATATCGAAGAACTATTCTTAGTATGATATATATTTGAAAGTTAGAGCCAAATATAAGGTTTTAGGAACTCACTTGCGAGCTTCAGCCCATATTGACAATATATATATATATGTGTGTGTGTGGGTTTTATAAGAGTTATGCTGTAAGAAAAATGATTGTGTTATGTTATAGAGATTCGTTTTGCGTACCGAAGTTTTTTTTTTTTTGCTGCGGGCCCCACAAAATGTTGTGTGTGTAGAAAACTTTTTGTGGTCATGTTAAATTATAGATGATAAACCCTATATATATATATATCATTTTACATGAGAGAAACAATTTTTCTACACACATAAAAGAGGGGTGGGTCCCACCACTCTTTTTTTCTCTCTCCTCTTACCTGTGGATTCCACTTGTAATTTTATTTTTGCAACATGAGGTAACTATTTTCCTACAACATAAGAAAAATATTTTTCATATAAGGGAAATATTAATCTCATGTCACATTAGACAACACTCTCTTCTACACATTCAAAAAGGTATGGGTCTCACTTTAATTTTTTTTTCCTTTTTTCGTGCAATGGGACCCACATAAAATTGTGAGTATAACATGAGATAATATATTTCCTGTTGTATAATAAAATATAATCCCATATATGTATATATAACAAACCATCAATGCATGATATTATTCAATTAGTAAAGGACAAAAATTGTATAAAAAAAGAAGAAGAAATTATTTCAGAGGAGCTGAGATTGAGGAGGCGTGGGCTTCTACGTATTCTCTGACTTCTGTTCCATGTGTTTTATATCAAAGCTGGTTTTCGTGTATATGGTATCAATGTTTTCCATGTTATAAGGATAATTTTATTTGTTAGACATACATAAAAAGTCATGCGAATGATTTAAGACCTTTTGAGACTATAGGATAAAATATAATTTTGATGGCTCGTAATAGAGATGAGAAAGGAGAAAAATTTTGGAATAAAAAATAGATAAATAATAAATGAGGCCGTAATTCACTTGTATTAAAATTTCTAGCTTACGAATATTCGGATATCTGAATATGATATTCGGGTATTTAACTCAATACCTAGGTATTTAACTCAATACATGGGTATCTGAGTCACTGCTCAGATATATATTCATAGAATGTATTAACACTTTCAATCCACTAAATATACTTGAGTAACTAAATCTCTACTCGAGTATCTATATAATCAATGGTCAAATAGAAATAAATTAATGTTATATTTGAGAAAAATGTCAATTTTTTTGAATAATTTATAAATAAGAGATAAAATGATAATTTTTTATTAATTAAAGAATGGAGTGGTCAAAAAGCCCAAAATTTATTCCAATGCATCATTCAATTATTGAGGAGGCGTGCGCTTCCACGTATTCTGACTTCTGTTCTCTGCTTTGTCAGGAAAAGAAGCGAATTTTGCATCTTCCTTTAAATAAATTAAAGGTTTATCATCTATTATTTAACATGACCACAAAATTTTTTCTACACACAACATTTTGTGGGGCCCGCAACAAAACAAAAAAAAAACTCTGACACGCAAAACGAATCTCTATAACATAACACAATCACTTTTCCTACAACATAACTCTTATAAAACCCATAAATTAAATCAAGGGTTTAAGTTTTCTTATGTTGTAGGATTGTAGGAGATAAAAAAAGTAGAGAGGAGTTAAATGTGGATCCCATATTTTATATTAAAAAAAAGAAAAATTAATTGACACGAAAAACGAATTAGTGTAGAAAAATAACGTACTCTTATGTAGCATAAGAGTATTATTTCCCTTAAATCAAATGATTACTATTGTTACATTTAATTAGCATTGAACCACCTTAGCAAACATGTGAACATTAACAATATGTTCAATATTTTTTCTGGTACAATATTCGAATGAAATTTGGATTACTATCTTTTGCAATGCAGTTTCGTAGAAAACAACCTAAAAGAATAAAATGGTCTTATATTTAAAAAAATTGGTATTTTTTGTTTCTCTGTTTCTGGTTCTCTGTTATCGCTTTAGGAACTGAACTGTAGAAGGCATAAACCGTGAAATATTCTTGAAGAATAACATTTTAACTGTGTAATGTCATCACAATAACAACACTATTTATAGCGGTAATAGTTGTAAGTTTGTTGATGATTGGATAATCATTACGATAATCCAGTGCAAATTTTATATAGCACATTCGAGATTAAAGAACATTAATCACTTATTTTGAGAAGAAAAAAACTAACTTTTAATCCAGTAATCCACTAATGTATCAATAAGTTGAACTGACAGTAACAAAAAACAAAACAAAAATAATGAAAGAAACAAGATGCAATCATATCTAAAAATTTATAATAACTACTCTCTTTTTTTTTTATCAAATCTAACGTAACACGTACATTATATTATATTAAGCTAGAAGCTACTTATAAGCTAAAGTTAAAAAAAAAAGTTAAAAACTGTTTGAAAATTACATAAAAATTTTAGTTTAAAAATTACTTAAAAGTACATATTTCAAGAAAATTATCTCTCTATATCTTTATCACTCTTTATTTTTAAAAAAAGTACACAGTTCAAGAAAAACAGATAAGAGCTTAAAAAAAAGCTCCTCCTAAAAGCTTTTAGTTTTTAGTTTTTAGTTTTTTTTTTCATTATAAAATAAAAGTTTTTTTGTTATAAGAGTTTTTCCCAAATTCTGTTTGGCCTAACTTATACTTATAAGTAACTTCTAGGTTAAAAATAAGAGGATCCAAACACGCACTTAATTATATTGTTATTATTTTTAAATTTTTATAAGATAATAAAAATATAATTAAAAATATATATAGACACTGTGGGGTCAGGGGTTCACAAAACCAAACATCCAACAAGGTAAAGGGGAACTATTCTTTCTCCATTATCATTTCTTTCACTGAATCGTTGAGTTTCATTTTCTGGGTTCTGAATTGAAGGCTTGATCTCTTGTTCGCAGGGGCTCTCAGCCTTTTCTTTTCTGGAGCTTTACCAATTCGAAATGGAGGTAATTAAATCCTGAGTATCCTTTTTTGAATTTTGATCAAATTTTGTATCTGTTTTCTCTTTCAGAGCTCCTTATTGCAATATATATCTCAAAGATCAATCATTTTTTTTTATCTGGGGTTGATTGTATTTTTGCCCTTACATGATTCTCTTGCTTTGAAATGTTGTTTTCTACCTTTTATTGTGTTGAGTTTTGTAATATTACTCCTGACTTTTTTTTTTTTGGATATTATTATAAAAGTTTATCAAATGTTTGAGGTATTCTTCTGAAATATGAATGCATTTATTTTTATGAAAAAATGATCGAATATATTCCAGATGGTAAGTGTTAGGATAGGTGCAAGAGGAAAAACAGATAATTGTTTTGAAGTTATTTGCTCAACGTATTGCATTTTTTCATGAAGAATTCATAAAGCTTATGGTGCTCTTAGAAACTGCATTATTTTATTGGGTTGATAATGTGTGTGTGGTATTGTTGTTGTTGTTTTTTATTTATTTAACTTTTAATTTTTTAATTAAAAACTAATTAAAGAAGAAAAAGTTGGAAAAAGTTTTACTTGGGAAAATATCATAAAACAACTTAATGAAGTGAGAAAAAGTTTAGCATGCAATTTATCTTACTAAAGATATTAGCATTGTGGAGGGCTAGATTTTTCGCTGTTTTTATTAATTTATTTTGTTGTTATATATATATATATATATATATATATATATATATATATATTTATTTTCTCTCAATACGTTCTTGCTTTTGTTTTGGTTCATTGATTGCGGACCCCAAGTCCCCAACAAGTTTTGGATAAAAGTGATATTGGTGTTGATGTTGGATTTTAATTAAAAAAAATCAGTTGAACAAAATTCTTTAGCAACTTTCTATTACAAGGTTTTTATCATTTGTGCTGGGGGTTGTGGTTGCACACTTGCATTGCAAGAATTCGAGGGAGGGATGCTTTTAGCTCAAATTAGTTGTGATTTTGGCGAAGCAGAATTAAGCTAGTAATGTTATTGCATTATTACCTTGTCTTCCTTCACCTGGCTGGTTCACTAGGTAATTACAGGTAGAATCTGGATTTTTTGCTTATCAAAACCGTATTTGTATGATCAATTTGAATGAACAACTTTTTGCGTTTGCTGAAAATATTGTGCACTCGAGAGCACCATTTACATTTGTAAAATATTGTATCTGACTCTGAACTCTGAGGTTGTGGGCTGGTATGTAAAAGGTTCCAGAGATGAAAGGCAAGACTGAAAGTCATACGACATCAGCAGTGGCCTTTGTGGAAGGGGGGATTCAAGAAGCCTTTGATGATGCTTGCAGTATATGCCTTGAGGATTTTTGCGAGAGGGATCCTGCAACTGTAATATACAGCTTTTGTGCTTCCCTCTTTTCTTTTCACCAATGGAATTATAAGCAAGTATGGCTTTATTTGAAAATATTTGCTTACTTCTTTTCCCTCTCTTGCTTTTCAGGTCACCAATTGCAAGCATGAGTTCCACCTGCAGTGCATTCTTGAATGGTACATTTTACTATATGTTTTTCATGCATGTCTCTCATAAAACTTAGATTTTTAGTTGAGTAATTTTTACCTTTATTCAAAGGGTTATTTATTGTGTTGGTTAAATTGGTTCCTGTATATTAAAATGGCTTCAAGAAGCATTAATAAATTTTCACTGTCATTAGAGATTTAGAACCAGAAGTCTGAATGCAGTGGTATAATTGTATGCTATTTCTTAATTTCTTGTTTCATTTTCTTTAACGTAGGGGTGGAGAATGGTTTCACCAATACTATGGACACCACGAATATTCATACTTCTTTTCATGTACATTTTAAAATTTGGTATGGCAGGGATGTAAATTATCAGGGTTTTTCATTAGAGTTGGATAGTTGGGTTTTTGTATAAATTTTCATTATAATTTTAGACAAGGTACTATAAATACCACCTGTAAAGTTGGTAGGAGCTCTAAAAAAAAAAAAAAACCACTCCCCGTTAAACCCGACTAGCGAGTGTGGGGTGGAGGAAATCCTTTTACGCAGCCTTACCCTTGCATAATTGCAAAAAGGCTGTTTCTTGAATTCGAACCCATAACCTTTCAGTCATGAAGGAGCTCTAGAAAGAAAACAAAAAATAAAATAAGAATGACTTTCAGAATAGTTTGATGGATAAGTTTCTGTCTCTCTGTCTGGATTTTGTTTGGCTGGAGGCCCTGTTCACTATTGAAGATATTTTTTTTATTTCCATATATCTTAATATGGAAAAAATTTCTGATCTCATAACATATTTTTGGTTGCTAATGGTGGGGAACATTTGAGTTGTTTTTTCTGATTGAAAATGGAACATTGTACTTTAGTAATTGTTATTGGCTAATGTTTTTAGGTGTCAGAGAAGCTCCCAATGTCCTATGTGTTGGCAACCTATTAGCTTGAAGGATGCTACCAGGTTGTTCATGATGTTACCTTTTGACATCTACTTTATAATTCTTTTCATGATTACATTGCTAAACTTGTATGCATTTCATGGCAGTCAAGAATTGCTTGATGCAGTAGTGCTGGAGAGGAGCTTGAGGGTTACCCCATCAAGAAATGCTGTGATTTTTCATTATCCTGCCCTTGGTGATTTTGAATTCCAGCATGTCAGTCATCTATTAGTCTTTTGAGTTTTGACTCGATTGTCTTATATCTTAAGCACATCTTAATTCTACCATCTATTTATGCTGGTAATTTTTCTGAATTCTGCAGTTACCCATTGGTGTAAATGATGCTGATATTGAAGAGCGAATACTTCAACGTTTAGCTGCTGCTACAGCACTGAGGAGAGCACAACACCTAGGTCAAAGGGAAGATCGAAGAACTAGGCCATTTGCTCATGGCCGTCCACGTGTATTAGTATTCTCAACTCAGCCTAGTGCACCTCCATCAGGTCCTGATTCAGCTGCCGGAGGGGGAAATGAACCAGCCGCAATTCCTGTAGGAAGTCCGTCTACCCCACTTACATATGATGGAGATGAAGCATCACCATCCCAGCAGATCCCACATTTTCGAGCTCAGGGCTCTTCTCTAACTCCTGGTTCTTCTGTTATGGCAACAAATCTTCAAGGAATTTACTCTAATGATAGGTTGTTAGACCTTAATATATGTTTTCTTATGTTCGTTGTTTTTGTGTGGATCAGTGGAGTTATATGTTGTGCATTGACTTGCTTGCAGAAGGTCTACTGCTCATTCTACTACTGCAAACCAAGATAGAGCAGGGCCATCAGAATTCCAGTCATTTTCTGATTCACTGCGGTCCAGATTTAATGCGGTGTCCCTGAGGTATGATTTCTTAGAAAGCGTGCATCTGGGAAATCTATATTTTGTCAAATCAACTTATCTGGTATTAAATTGTCTTGTGACTAAGGTACAAAGAATCAATTTCAAAGGGCACAAGGGGATGGAAGGAGAGGCTGCTCTCTGGTAATTCTTCTGTGTCAGAAATTGGTTCAGAAGTTAGGAGAGAATTGAATGCGAAAATTGCTAGTGTTTCCCGATTGATGGAGCGCCTTGAAACCCGAGAAAATAATCAGGCTGCTGGTACTTCTTTGTCCATTGCAGAGACAAGCAACCAGAACAATGAGGCACCTCGTGGAGAGAACTCTTTGCATGACAACAATACTCCAGCTACTTGTTCTGCTAGCTCAGATTCAAATTGAGCTCTATTGTGCTTCTGTGAATACATCTTTCCGTAGCATATCATTTGAAGGTGAGCCTTGATCTTTGTTTAAACCTTTGAGGCTCATAACAGAATCAACATATCTTTCATCCATTTGTAAACTAAGTAATTTTAATGGTGTGTATCAAATATCAAGTCTCGTGTGTTTTGTTTCTTTTTTCAGGCTAACTGTTTGCCCAGACATGACATACTGAGGAACAGATGCTATGGGATAGTCATGGCAGTTGGTTTTCAATAAAAATTAGGATATGAAATACACCTTTACCTAATGCTAAAACTCTTGTTTTTATGTACATAGTATGCTGGTAACTCTGAGGAGTATGTGTTTAAGGTGTAATCTAACAGAGAAAGTGTTTTGAAATTCAATGGAGTTTGTGTCCATAATCTTTCCCTTTAATTGTTCTTTGGTGTCAATGGAAATAGATATAGATCAAGGTGGCAACTGGCAAATAGAGTTTTTGCTATTTCTGTTACATTTTCAACCTTGGTTAAAATAAAACCTTGTTTTGAAACATTGGGGAATATGTGAAGCTATCTTATTATGGGAAGTTAAAATTAAAATATTGTTAAAATTGTTTTGTTCTTCATAAGATGTTTTATGCATATGATTTTTGTCACAAAAAATTATGCGAAGTTAAAATATTGGGAGGTTGAAATGCTCATTATGTAAAATCTGTATATTTTTTTAGAAAGAAGAGTAAATACTTTTTTGGGTCCCTGACAAAAAATACGGTCCCCACTTTAGTTCCTTATAAAAATAAATTAGTCAGTTAGTCCCTAACAAATTCAAAGGGGACCCATTTTAGTTCTTTTGAGGGACTAATATGGGTCTTTTTTGAATTTGTGAGGGATCACGATTTCAACTAAATAGGTCAACTTTGAATTTGTTAGGGACTAACTGAATAATTTATTTTTGTTAGGGACTAAAGTGGGGATCGTATTTTTTGTTAGAGACCAAAAATGGTATTTATTCTAGAAAAAATATGGCTGAGGTTTTTTTTACTCTTTTTCAGCAATATACAATGAATGTGAATAAAATTTACATCTGTACACAATATATTAGGGGATTTTTAAAAGTTTTAGTATCTTGTCCCAAATATTTAAAAATGACAAAAAATAATTTAAACTGTGAACTCCTATTTTCTTAAAAAAAAAAAGCTAAAAATTAAAAAAGAGAGAAATTAAAAAAGGAACTAGATGCCATAGGTTTTTTTTTACCATTGTATCCCTTATTTAATTAAAATTTCCATTTCATATCACTCATTGCCCTGTTTAACCGTTGACGCAATTAAATAGAATACGACACCAATTCGTATTATGCTAAGGACACTGCGTCGTCAAATTTCCTCCAGAAGTGCAAAATTTTAAAGGCTACCTTCTTCTCTCATTAATTCTAGGAAAAGAGAGAAATGGAAAAATCATATTTCTCATTACTAGAATGAATAGTCATTACATATGCAGCTTATACATATACATCAAGATTCAGAATAACTAACTAACTGAAAGTCGTTACATTCTGTTAGACTAACATCTCCTCTAATAGAATAAGTCACTAAGTCTTCTCTTCCTTGTTTCTGTCATGATTGGTGGGCCTTATGTGTGAAGTAGACGAAACTGGGAGCAGATGAAGAAGTCCAGAATGAATCTTCTCCCTAATTATCTGACAATCAATGTCTATATGCTTGGAATGCTCATGGAACACAGGATTCTTAGCCAAGTAGATGGCGGATTTGTTATCATAGCAAACAGAAGCTAGTTTGAGCCATGGAAGATGAAGGTCACAAAATAGGTGTTGCAACCATTGAAGTTCGCAAGTGAGTGAGGCTAAGGCTCTGTATTCTGCTTCAAAGGAAGACCTGGAAATCGTGGACTGCTTCTTCAATCGCCAAGCAACTAAAGAAGAGCCAATGAAAATGCATGAACCAGAGATTTATCGACGAGTGTCAGAACAAGCTCCCTAATCAAAGTAACTAAACGCTCGTACCTGAATGTTGGAGGAAACTGGGAAAAACAAAACAGCAACTGGTGCACCCTTGAGATAGCGTAAGACCTGGTTGGGAGCAGTGACATGAGTACCCAAAGGACTAATTTTACAAGAATTATATAGTCAAATGCATGAGAATTATGGTTTATTAGTGGAAAAGAATGAACTATTGAGATATGAATTAAATAATTGATTTTTTTTTGTTTTGAAGGTAAATGAGTGTAAATGAAGACAAACATGAAGTTCAACGATTTGAAGCTTAGAGTTGAAGATCATAGAAGCCACCAAGTGAAAAATAGAGAGGTCGAGAAGAAAGGGGAAAAAACCAGAGAAGAAGGAGATAAGAAAGGGGGAGACAAAGAAAGAGCGTAAGAATAAGGAAGAAAAGATATAGATTAGTGTGTCAATTGGAGGAGGAAAAAGAGAGTTGAGAAGCTTGGATACATATCAAAAAATAGTAGTGGAAGGATTTGAGAAGAGTATTAGTGCATTTGGAGGGTCGCCAAAGGAAAATTGAGTGCTGGAAGATTAAGCAAGAAGGACAGAATAATACAGTTGTTGATGCCACAAAGAGGAGCGTATTTTTTATGCACGACACGACCACCAAGTTTTGGGTGGTCCTTTAGTGAAATTGGAAGGTGTTATGGATATATATCATATCCTAACTACCCACTTAACAAACCATCAAAGGATAGATACTCAATTATCCTAACAATATCAAACAACCAAGATACTAAGGATACAATCCTTATCTCAACAGCAAGGAAGTCGAATCCTACTGCAACTGGGAGATCTTCACAAACCCTAGAGGTAACCCTTATAAATAAGAGGCTAAAGACCCCAGTTATACACTTTGAACCTATTTACTATTACTGCCAACACTGTGCACACACCCACGTCTTGGCTATAAGCCTATTGCTTGTGCGCAGTGATTGGGATATTGGCTTCAGGCGAAACACATACCTACTTCTACGGTATCTCTGAGCGCATACCTTACGGTATAACAATACGGTCTATCCAGGACCGAACATTGGCGTCGTCTGTGGGAAACAATAAATTTTGATTACCATTCCACGATGACGAACACCCGTTCGACGTCCAGCACTGTCCAACCGCCGCCACACCTGTCTGCGCTGGAACATCTCCAATCAACAGTGTCTCCTGTGTTGGTGGAGGTCCAAGTCGGAGAGGTTGGCACGCAGGTGCCGCCCTTAAGAACCCAGACCAAAGCGACGGTGGAGACAGCGCGCCCACAGAATGATCAGCCAAGAGATGTGACCACTAGGGCCATGAATGCAATCCTTCAAAGGATGCAAGAGATGGAAAACAGATTCTTGGCTCAACAAAGGTTAGATGCCCAGAGGATGGAGGCATTTGAGGCTGAGATACAAAACCAAAACACAGAAGGCCGAGCTGGAGGAGCAGGTCAGGTCGAAACTGGTGGGCCCCAGCAACAAAACACGGCCGCGGCAACCGAGACTGTGCAGAATCTTCATTATGGCAACCACCAAGAAGGTGGAGGGCCAGTCAACAGTGCTCATGAACTTGGCAATCTCGCCGAGATTTAAAAGTGCCAGGATACCTCCGTACGACGGAAGCCAAGACCCGGATGCCCACTTAGAGGCTTTCAAGACCGAGATGCTGTTCAACAGGATAACTGGACCTATTAAGGCCAGAATCTTCGCGACGACATTGACAGGTCAGGCAATGGCGTGGATAGGGGTGTAAATGGGGCAGGCTGGCCTGGCCTAGCCTACAGCCCGACTTACATTGAGCCCGGCCTACGTTGAAAAGTAGAGTAGGCTTAGTCTTATAAGAAAGCCTTTTAAACAAGTAGGCCATAAACTAATTTTGTCAAGCCTGACCTAAATCCTTGTAGGCTGGCCTATTTAATTTTTTTAAATAAAATAATATAATAAATTTATTTTAGGGTATATGATATACATTATAGAGCTGAGGATTATGTTGACTCTTTCTTGTTGGTCATTTTTTATGAATTATGAGAAGTACTAGTGCATGAATGAATGGAACTTTGCTCAGTATATTTTTATAGTTATTTTTTTTACTATTATAAAATTTTTAATGCTCACTAATGAAATTTATATCTCGTGTAAAAAAATGCAGCAATTTATGAACATGTTAATGACTTGTAATGTCAAGTGAATATTTTAAAAATTTATAAAATTATTTCACTAGGGAGGCCTACAAGGCCTCTAGGCCATATAAGGCTATTTAATTCTTAAAAATAGGCCAGGCTTGACCTATAAATAAAGCCCTTTAGTAGGCCAATAGGCCAGATAGGCTGAATATTTTTTTACATAGGCTTAGGCCAGGAAGGCCAAAGCCCAGCCCAGCCTGGCTCATTTACACCCCTAGGCGTGGATAACCAGGCTCCCCAGGAACTCGATCGATTAGTTCGAGGACCTGGCTCGAACTTTTCGTCTGAATTTTGCAACGAGTAAGGCACATCCAATGCCGGCCTATGCCTTGGGAAGAATTCAGCAAAAGGAGAATGAATCATTGAGGAAATACCTAGATAGATTTAAAGATGCTGCCCTCAAGGTTCGGAATCTAACTGAACCAGTACATCTGCATCTGATCATTTCAGGATTAGATGGCGATTTCCCACTCGCAAAGTCAATCTATAAGAACCCGGTCAATGATCTGGAGAAGTTACGACGTAGGTCGGACAAGTACATTGACGTTGAAGACATGCAGAAGGCTTATGAGGAGTCCAGAGGACGAAGCCCTAATCGCCGGAGCCCAAGCAAAAAGAATAAAGACCAGTATCAGCAGGGGTCGAAGAAAGGAAACGACTCCCATGACAAGAGATCGGATGACCGATCTCCAAGGACCAAATATGACACTTACACGCCATTAAACATGTCCAGATCTCGGATATGGAAAGAAGTGGCTCAGACTTAAATGCGCAACGTTGAAAGACCTCGACCCCTCAAGAGCAAGAGCGGATTGGACAGGAACAAATATTGTGCTTTCCATGATCAAAATGGTCACACCACGGATGATTGCTAGGACCTCCGAGATTCTACTGAGAAGCATGTTAGAGAGGGAAAATTGAAGCAATACATTATCCGAACTCAGGGTAAGAAGAATAGTAAGCGAAGGCAAAGAAGTCGGAGCAGAAGTCGCAGCCCGAAGAGAGAGGACAGGAAAGATCATGAACAAGACCGCCCTTCGAAGGGAAAAAAGGTCGAAGATAAAGATGAAGAATTCCAAGAACCTGAATTTGAGTGCAACGTGAAAAGCAGAGCTCTGGGTGGAGGATGCGACATGGCAAATGCAAGAAGAAAGTACCTGAAAGAGGTCATATCGGTAAGAGATAGGCCGACCTTCAAAGGGAAAGCCAGCAATCCTGCTCCCCAAGGCTGTTCTTTACTCAAGAA